TTTTCTGTTTTTTTTTAACATACTTATTACTTTTGAATCACAGTAAGTGGGCAGAGCACATCTCAGATGACCCTAACAACTACCAGATGAGATAAGCAGCTAAACAATTATTCTTACTTTATTGGTGAGGTAAAAGGCAGATATGTTAAGTGAGTTAATCATCAGAAGTGATAGGACTTGCCTGGCCTGTGTGGCTCAGTGACTGTCAACCTATAAACCAGGAGGTGCCGGTTTGATTCCTGCTTAGGGTTCCATGTGCCTCAGAGATTAAATAACTGGATTTTGAAAACTGTTTCATGGGGGAAATCTGAAGTCATACTTAGGCGTGAGTAAAAAAAAAAAAACCACAAAGAGGAAACATGATAGCTACTTTTAATGTCTAAAACTCTCACATAAAAGGAAGTGTTCCATGTTCTCCCAAAGGGCAGAAAAGAGTATCAACAAGTTGCAGTGGGAAATTTTGGTTAATATTAAGAAAGAATCCCTTAGATAAAAGCTCTCTAATTAAAACATAAGGTTTCATCAAGAGACCAAATAGCCATAAGAACACCCAGCATTTATAGTGAAGGAAACACTGATTTTGGAGTTGAGAAACATCATGTTGTCACTGCAAATCTATAGTTTAGTAAACTAGCAAGACAAAATAAGATTCTCTTAAAAGATGGTTATTTAGTCTGGTTCGATGCAATATGTGACTTTAAAAAAGACAAAACAAAACAACAACAACAAAAAACCAAAACATCCTTACTGCTATTTAAACATCATTTTTCTTCACCCAGCCCCAATCCCCTCCCCTCTGTCAGTCTGTTCCATGCTTCCATGCCTCTGGACCTATTCTGTTCATCAGTTTATTTTATTCATTAGATTCCCATATAAGTGAGATCATATGGTCTTTGCCTTTCTCTGACAGGCTTATTTCACTTAGCATTATACCTTCTAGGTCCATTTATGCTACTGCAAAGGGTAAGAATTCCTTCCTTTTTACAGCCTCGTAGTATTCCATTGTGTAAATGTACAGCTTTTTTATCCACTCACCTACTGAGGGACACTTGGGCTATTTTAATTTTGGCTTGAGCACTGTCTATTCATTCTGGACATTTTTTTATATCTATACTAATAAAAGGGTAATATGCTAATTAGACCAGACATCTTCTGGACGTCTTTCTGGACAAAGCCACGGTGACGGGGGCCAAGGCAGAGGTGGTTAGCGGCAATCAGGCCCGCAAGGGAGAGCAGTTAGGGGGCGATCAAGCCGGCAGGCAGAGTGGTTAGGGGTGGTCAGGCAGGCAGGGGAGCAATTAAGGGCATCAGGCTGGCAGGGGAGAGCAGTTAGGGGGCGATCAGGCGGGCAGAGGAGCAGTTAGGGGGCGATCAGGCCGGCAGGCAGAGGCGGTTAGGGGCAATTAGGCAGGCAGGGGAGCAGTTAGGGACATCAGGTGGCAGGGACAGTTCAGGGCGATCAGGCGAGCGGTTAGGAGCCAGCGATCCCGGATTGCGAGAGGGATGTCCGACTGCCGGTTTAGGCCCGATGTGGGATAGGATTGGGCCTAAACCGGTAGTTGGACATCCCCCCGAGGGTTCCAGATTGGAGAGGGGTGCAGGCCGGGTGAGGAACCCCTCTGCCCCATGCACGAATTTCATGTACCAGGCCTCTAGTATTTCAATAGATATATATGTGCATCTCTCAACTTACACAAAAGTTTTTCTAAATTTCACTATCTTTTCCCACAATATATTTCCTTTTCTCCTTGCAATAGGACAAAAAGAAACTATGGGCTTTTTAAGTCCAGTATGTATCCTTTTCTTCTTTCTTGGAGGCAAAGTACATTGTCAATATGAAAGTTATCAATGGGATGAAGATTATGACCAAGAGACAGATGATGTTTACCAACCAGAATTCCATTTTCATCAAAATGTGGACTATCAAGTGCCTTTTCATCTGCATGCTTTAGGCTGTGCCAGTGAATGTTTCTGTCCACCTAACTTTCCATTATCCATGTACTGTGATCATCGCAAACTCCAGCGTATCCCAAATATTCCAGTACACATTCAGCAAGTCTATCTTCAGTTCAATGAAATTGAGGCTGTGACTGCAGACTCATTTATCAATGCAACTCATCTTAAAGAAATCAATCTCAGCCACAACAAAATTAAATCTCAAAAGATTGATCATGGAGTGTTTGCTAAACTGTCAAATCTACTACAACTTCAACTACAGCATAACAACTTAGAAGAATTTCCATTTCCTCTTCCTAAATCTTTGGAAAGACTTCTTCTTGGTTACAATGTGATCTCCAGACTGCAGACAAATGCCATGAATGGACTAGTAAACTTGACCATGCTTGATCTCTGTTATAATCATCTTGATGATTCTATGTTACAAGAAAATCACCTAGCCAAAATGGAAAAATTAATGCAGCTCAACCTATGTCATAATAGATTAGAATCAATGCCTCCTGGTTTGCCTTCTTCACTTATGTATCTATCTTTAGAAAATAATTCAATTTCTTCTATACCAGAAGGTTACTTCAATGAACTTCCGAAACTTCATGCTCTAAGAATGTCCCACAACAAACTACAAGACATCCCATATAATATTTTTAATCTTTCCAACCTCATAGAGCTCAATGTTGGACACAACAAACTGAAGCAAGCATTCTATATTCCAAGAAATTTAGAACACCTATACCTAGAAAATAATGAAATTGAAAGTATGTAAATTTTCATTATTTTTTAAAGACATAATCTATGCTTTATACATTGTTGATAATGATCGCTTTAAAGTTGGCTAGGAAAATGGGAGAAACTGGTCCCAGAGAAAGGTGTGCTATAAAGTTTATAGTCTTTTCTATTAAATTTTATCACCCTAAACAATGAGAAATAGTACTGTAGAGTATATGAAGAAATACGTGTATTCTGAGTAGTGGGACTATAGAAGATTTTCATTTTTTTCTTTTTGAGACTGTTTCTACTAAGAATTTATTACTTTAATAATTTATTTATTACTTGAATTAGTAAGTTTCCAATGAAGTCATTTATTTTGATAATATACAATTCATTTATGGTTTTATGTTCATTTTATTATTTGAGTAACTAAAAATAATTAAACCTAATTCCACTTATAAGTATTCTAATTAATAAAACTAGATCTATATAACATTTTAACAAAACCCAATATAGGATGATGAATGTAATATAGCAAGACTAATTTTTAATTTGTATTTTCAGATATCAATGTTACAGTGATGTGTCCATCTGTTGACCCACTATATTACCACCATTTAACATACATTCGTGTGGACCAAAACAAGTTAAAAGAGCCAATAAGCTCATACATTTCCCTCTGCTTCCCTCATATACATAGTATTTATTATGGTGAACAAAGAAGCACTAATGGTCAAACAATACAACTGAAGACCCAAGTTTTAGGGAGATTTCAAGATGACCCTGATAGTGAAGAACATGATGATCACCAAGAAGACTCAGAACAAGAAGGAACAGAAGAAAACGTTGACCCTCACTATTATGGAAGTCAAGAATGGCAAGAAACTATATAGGTGTACATTTATGGCTTCACAAAACTTATAGCTCATGATAATAGATGAAGAATTATGTGTTAGTATAAAATCAAATACTTAAATTTAAGGTATTGGTATACCATCTGCATAATTACATCGGATTAGAATTTACTCAAACTGATACAAGCCTTAAGAAATGTAAATTAGAATAACAAGTAGAAATTAAAAACTAAACTTTAAACATAAAAATTTTATGTTGAGAAAAAGTGAGTATGTCCTTTCTATTAACAGTAATTTTTCTAAGAATGATGAAAGAAGTAGCATCAAAAGCTTTGAATTACTAGGAGGATTATTTAAATGCAAACAGGTTACATTCCTGTAATAGTCAGCCATTCACTTAAGGAATACATGGGTTTTTTTTTACCTAATCTCCAGAATACTCTATTTGGATCGTATTACCAACACCGAATCCACCCCTTGGCCTTACCGCTTAGTGCTTAAGATGATACTTCTGATTGTCATAAGATGCCACCCTACTAAGGACCCAGGCAAAGAGATTCATAAAATAAATGAATCCTATTTTTCCCTTAGAGCTTCAAAGCAACAAAATTTTAAACTCTGTGTTTGGATAACTAAAAAACACCAAATTATCTCATTACAATCTGTATTTAGCAAATTTTAGAAAATTCCCAAACAGTCTTTACTGTGTTCATTTTAACTGGAATAAATGTTTTATAGTAAACTAAAGGCCCAGTGCACAAAATTCGTGCACGGGGGGAGGGGGCCTGGTCCCCTCAGCCTGGATTGCGAGAGGCCACAGGCCAGGCCAAGGGACCCCCACCATGCACAATCAGGGCCAGGAGGAACAAGGGAGGCTGGCCAGCTGGGGAGGGACCCCAGGAGGGCTCTAGGGCATGTCCAGCCCATTTCACTCAGTCCCAATCGGCAGGACCCCAGCAGCAAGCTAACCTACCAGTCAGAGCATCTGTCCCCTGGTGGTCAGTGCACGTCATAGCAACTGGTCGGCCAGTCGACTGTCTGCCCCCTGGTGGTCAGTGCACATCATAGCAAGTGATTGAGCCGCTTTAGCAAACCATTAGCATTAACACTTTAATTGGATGAACAGACAACCTGACAACCAGACACTTAGCATATTAGGCTTTTATATGAGGATGCACTCAAGAAAGATTTCTTTGTTTTAATTACATAAAGATTTGCAAATAAATAACTATTTTGTTCACAAGGTTAATATTAGCACAAGAAAGTATATCAACATTATTAAACACTTCTACTTTTCTAGCACAATTAATTAGGAATTTATATGTGTATTAGCCAATGTTTATTTACATAATGTTAAAGTTGAATAAAGTTCCTTTAAAATTTGAACAGATGGGTTTTGACAGTCTCATTAAAACCTTAAAAATTACCTATTACCTATCATTTTGAAATACTTTAACTATACCTTATAATAGAGATGATCTACCTGCTTTGATGAACTTTCTTGATTTATTAGGCTAACATTGCATAGAATTCCTCAAATAAGAAATAAACACACAAATGTGGGGCGACCTATACAGAAAAATCCAAAGAATAAACAACAATTAGGACAATATGCAAAGACCAGACATGTAACACTCTATTTTAGAAGCAGTTTTCAAGTTGTCTTTTTTTTCTGGAAGTGACAGTTTAAATGAAGCCTCTAATGCTCTTTATAACTTTAAGTTATTAGCATTTAGCAGAAATAGTATCCACCTGACTCCAGGAACTAGCTCCACAATCCAAAATGAACAGACAACATGCCATTCTTTCCTTTAATTAACATTCATCAAGCTATTTGGTGTGTAGGGCTTAGCAATGAGAGGTCAAGAAATGGAGTACCCCCTCCCTGTGGGCGCGAATCCACGGGCCCTGTCTTTGGGGTTTGTGGGTCACCCGGGGATGCAGCATTAAACTCTCTCTCCTTCCCTTCTCTTTAAAAAAGAAAGAAAGAAATGGAGTACCTACGTGGGACTGAGACATATAAGGTACAGGTGTGAGGGTAAAAGCCAGAGCAAAATGCTAGTGATGTGGGGAAAGCCCACTTTTTAAAAACAGGATTATAAATGTAAAAATTTATTATGAGTTAATATGTGGAAAATACTGTGGGTGTTTTAAGACACAAGAAATTATTAATAGAGTGTTTCTTACCTAGAATAATTTAAAAATTACTGAAGAGCCATCACAGAACTATAAATGGGAACCACAATGAGATACCCTTTCACACTCACAGGATAGCTATAATAAAAAGACAAATTAACAAGGAGGTAGAAAAAGGGGAAGCCTCACGCAGCACTGGCAGGGATATCAAATGGTAAAGCTGCTTTAGAAAGCAGTCTGGCAGATCCTTAAAAAGTCCGTCACTGTGACATAGCCATTGGGACAATCTGCGAAGACCAGACACGTAACACTCTATTTCCTAGGTGCATCTCCAAGAAAAATGAGCACAGGTTCATACAAAACCACGCACAGAAATGTTCATAGCAGTATTAACCATTAAGAGACAGAAACCACACACCAATTTCCATCAACTGGTAAAGCCAGTGAGCCAAGACAGGTGGAACAGGGAAACTGAGGCAGAGAGCTAAACACACTGAAGCAATTTACACAGATACACGGGTCCCCGCCCCACAGATTGTACTTCAGCTCCAGGCCCAGGAAAGCAGCAAAACCAGGTGGGCGACACCAGGACCAGCTGCGATGACTGACAACCCCGGCCCTGGCACTGACCCATCAGGGGGGACCACGGCCCTGGGGGAGCCCACCTGGAAGGCTGTCGAATATTCTGCTGGAACCCTCCCCTGACACCTCCCCTAAGGCTCCCCTGTGAGACAAAGGACCCCATGCATTTGTCTCCTCTAGGAGCAGCCCCCGAAATTCCCTCCCCCACCTTCCCCCACAAGCAGGCACCTCCTAAACCCTAGAGGACCCCAACAAGGCTTGCAACCATTGGCAGCTCGTCCCAGGCTCACCCCTGAACCCCTTCCCAAGGCCCCCTTTTCTCTGTTTCCCAGAGACCTAAGGCAGCCCAGCCTGGCTCTCCTGTTGCTGCTTCTATGCTAAGCCCTTTCTTGTTTTACTGTCCCAGCTTTAATAAACGTTCCCGCGTGGCCACCTGGGCTCCTGTTGTGAATTATTTCCTGCACAAATTCAAGAACCCACACACTACCGGCTGGCCCTAGGCAGACCCACAAAGGGCCAGGTCCCCTTTTCAGCAACTAACTGATAAACAAAATGTAGTATATCCACACAATGAAATATTCAGCCAAAATAAGAAGTAAAGTAGTAATACACACTGCAACATAGATAAACCATGAAGAGATTATGCTAGTAAAAAAATTAGTCAGAAAAGGCCACATAGTCTATCATTCTTTTATAGGAAATGTCCAGAATAGGCAAATCTATAGAGACACAGAGAGATAATTGGCTGCCTGGGCTAGGAGGAAGAGGAATAGAGGGAAAGTGGGAAGAGGCAGATAATGGGTAGAAGGTTTCTTTATGGGGTGATAAAATATTCTAAATTTATTGTGATGATGGTTGTACAAGTTTGAAAATACTAAAACACTACTGAATTATATACTTTAAAAGGGTGAAATGTATGAGATGTGAATTATTTAAATAAAGCTGTTATTAAAAAATTTTAATGAAGAAGATCAAACAACTAATTCTAACACAAGGAGGAAAGAAATCAAATGCTAAAGTGGCAGAAACTATGAAAAGTGACGTTGCTGCCTGAGGATGACCAGGACGTGGTAGAGAAGCAGAAGGCTTCAAGGGAGTAGGAACTGACTCGTCAGAGTGGAGAAAACACACTCCCAGGGCGAGATTAATATAGAGATAGGGGAATTCCTTATTTTACCTCTTCACTCTTAAGAAACAAAAACAAAGCCCTACAATTTTCAGAATTTTGGAGCTTCTATTTTTATCTCATAAACTGATAAAAGAAAATACATTTTCATCCTCAAAGAACAACCTTAGCGAAGAATAAAACTGCACAATCTAGCAATTTATAACAAGGAATTTGAAATCAGATGCACCTGGGTAGAAGCCTGCCTTCATAGTTCTGAGCTAACTTCAGAAAGTTACTTATTCTAGAAGCTTCCCTTTCCTCATTTCCATAAGGAAGGTGGTTCTTATATAACTGCTATAAGGATAAAGAGAAATAGTGTACATAACAAAAAATGTAACAAGCCCATGTCAGTCACAGGCAGACAGCGAGCCAGAACCAGGATTTCAGCATGTCCGTCTAGCACCTGCTGCATCTAGCTGCTCCCCAAGTCAGCTGCCTTTTGCACATGTAGGTGCTCTCTCCGAGCCCCTAGAAAGGATCAGCACTCTTCAGGTTCCTTCCAAGATTCTACTCATACAAAAGATCAGTGAACAAGAAAGACTTGACTCAAGTTTCCTTAGGAGATAGGGGGGGTGCTTACATCACATACAAGCAACAAACCTATTCTAATAGCCATCTACTGGTTCAACCTTGCAGAGCACCCGGACAGCCTGCCAGGGAGGCAGCAAGGTCAGCCCTTGCAATGCACTGGGAGGAAGAGTTGCACTCTGCTCGGCTCCCTCCCAAGGCTTGCACTGGGACACAGCACAGAGGGCCTCCAGCCGCAGGGCCCAGGAGAAGATAAATTCACAACCTTCTTTTGTTATTCTAAGAATATACTCTAAGGAGCCCGCCCCAAGTATTTCTCATTAAAAACAAAACTAAACAAAAAGGACAAATAACACCCAATGCTTTCTTTAGGAGAAAGTGAAGAATAAAGGACATCTTCAACTTGCACATCAAAACTGCAGATACCTACCAAGGCTACAGATAAACCCAGTCGATCTGATATTTATAACAGGAAAGAAAAAGATAAAAATTCATCTATTTCCTCATTATACCTTAAAGTATTAGTTACATTAGCTACTAGGCTGAACTGTATGACTATTAACTAATCCAATCATACCATGAAACCAAGCTTAATAAACATAAAAGCCCAACATCCTTATAGAAAGGAAATAAAAATAAAGAGTATTTCATAAATTTGCTCACAATAATACTAGTTGAGAATGTTTAGCTTGTGTTTAAATATTAACTGAAACACTATACATTTTGCCTTTATTTCTTAAGTGGAGCCACTAAACTAAAATGGAGAGTGCATATCATGTAACACACTAACCACCTCCATGGGAACAAAACGAAAGAAATAAACTGTCTCTTCTGCATTCTTTCACTATTGCAGAGAATTCATATGACCCCTAAACCAAACTCATTTCCTTATTCCCAATCTGTTTTGTCTAAACCTTAGAAATAGAGCATACTTGCAGCTGGAAACAAAATTAAATCATAGCAGCTAAAAATCCAAAGTTTTTTATATGTTCCAATTGTCTACATAAATATAACTATGGCTAGCAAATAAATATGACGTAATCATGGACATGGTCTGTCATTAAAACCTAAATATGTTGCAAATTCACCATATAAAGATTTATGTACTACTGAAAAAAATTAAACTCACAAATATGATACATTTTGACATGAACTCTTCCTTATATTGAGTCATACTTCCCTCCTTTTAAATGTCACCCTTTAGTTTGAGAAGTTCTGGGTTAACCAACTGACTGGGCTTCAGGCATAAGTATGAGATCTGAGATGGAGATTCAAACCATAGATTTCCCATAAAATCTTGAAATATTCCAAGATTTTTGTATTTAAAGCATCTATAAATACCTGGCCTCTGGGTGATTCTCAACAGGGGCGATTTTGCCCTCCAGGGGACACTTGGCAATGCTGTGAGACCATTCTGTTGTCCTGCTGCAGAAGTGAGTGGAGAAGAGTTACTGGCATCTAGTGAGCAGAAGGTAGGGAACCTGCTAAAGGTCCAGTAAAACACATGACAGTCCCTCCCAAAAGGATTATCTGGCCGAGCGGTCGCCAACCATTTGGACCTCATGAACCACCAGCAGTTCGCGGACCACCCATTGGCGACCACTGCTCTGGCTCACAATTTCAATAGTGCTGAGCTGAGAAACCCTAGGGGCTAGCCTAGATTCTAGATCTAGACCAACAGATAAAGAAGATAAAGAATTATAACCAAGATCAAGGGAAGGTTAAAAACAGAACAAAACTAAGGTTTATGTGATCTGACTCCTAAATTATACTACCAATAAAGTTAGAAAGATGAAGAAAATAGAAAAAAGATTCTTCGAGCTTGTAGTTTTTGAAATGCAATCCACTTGTTAGTTACATGTTCTTTGTCAGTAGAACTAAGCCTCCCCCCAAAACAAACAAACAACTCCTAGAAAACCCTTGTTTCCAAAATTCAATTCTATTCAATACATGCCTGCTGTTGAGGAACAATTAGGAGGTAGAACAATCTGCCCAACCGCACACCTTCAACAATATAAACCCCTACAAAGACACCAAGGATAATGCAATAGGGGCACCAAAAAAAAACTCCATAGAGAAAACTCACTCCGTTTTGGATAAATGCCTGCTCTTACGTCTTAGACAACTTCTATCTTTTATTACGATGCAGTGAAAGCTAAAAGCTTTCTACTAGGATATAATAGTTCTCTGTAGAACAGAAAACAATATAAATTTCAAACATGTTTTATTCTTGGAACTGCACAGTAAAGAACTTTACACCCACGAGAGGTCTGGGCTTAGCTGTTAGCTTTTAGGAGGTAACCAATATCTTTTAGAGTTGGGGTCATCACATTACATCTTAGGGTGCACTAGTCATACCCAATACTGGGTTGGCCATGTCAGAAAGAGACCAAAAGATCATGTGATTCAGGATGGGGACTTTGGGTCATGCAATCTGTCAACCTGGATGCTGAGTTCAACCACATGGACACTCAATCGATCATGACAATGTAATAAAGCCCCAATAAAACCTCTCAATGGGGCTTGGGAGCATTTCTCTGGTTTGCTATCTCGCATCAAAGCCAGGAGGGTAATGCACCTGAGAAAAATGGAAGCTCTGCGCTTTGGAACTCTCCCATGTTCTACCTAATGTATCCCTTGGCTGATATTTATGTATATAAACCGCAACTATAATGGCTTTCAGTGAGCTCCATGAATCTAGCTTCTGGCAAATTATCATATGTGAGGGTGGTTTTGGGAACCCCCTAATCTTGAACTTGGTGTAAGTGAGGATGGTCTTGGGGACTTTGCCCTCAAACTTTGTTTGGCTAACTCTGGGCAAGAAGATACGTTTATTTAGAAATATCCCACTAATATCTCTAGAAGCTTGCCTTGTGTAGTCATTTCCCCTTCTGTGTGGCTGTGACCTCTGACTTGCTTCTAACCAACAGAACATGGCAAAGGTGAGGGCATATTTGTGATTATGTGTGCATGACTGCTAAAAAGATTACAATGTCCATCTTACTGCAAGACTATCTTCCTTTTTAGCTGTGAAGAAGCAGCCTGCTATGTTAGGAGCGCCTGATGGAGGAGGTGACGTGGCAAGGAACTAAGGGTGGCCTTCAGCCAACATCCAGCAAGAAACTTGAAGCTCTTAATTCCACACACTGCATGAAGCTTCAGCCAACAGCCACATGGGCTCACACGCAAATCCTTTACTGTATCCAAGTCTTGAAGTGAGGGTGTAGCCCCAGCCAACACCTTAATTGCAGCTTTCAGGTAAGATCCTGAAGTAGAGAACCAGGCAAAGCCATGCCTGGACTCCTGACCCACAGAAACTCTGAGATAATAAATGTATGTTATTTTAAGCCACTACAGTTGTAATACATAACCAGTACAATAAACAAGTAGAGGTACTCATCAGAAATGCAACATTAGTGGGATATTTCTAAAATGAAAATAGGATATTACTAGCTAAAAAAAAAAAATCTCTCAGTGGTCTCTCACTGGCTATAGAATAAAGCCCAAACACCTTAGCAAGGTACAAAACTCTCCTTAATCTGACCTCTAGTCCCTTATCTGAGCTCTTAATATGTGCCACCCACCCACCACTTCTGTCCCTCCTCCAAGCTCCAGCCATATACAACAAACAAATGTTCTCCCCAGCTATGCGATGCTACCCTTCCTAGAACATCACCCTCTGTCACCATCCCTACTCGTCACCTATTTTCTCTCCATAAGTCAGGCTGGTGCAGCCCCTGTGGCCTCACCCTCTCAGGCTATCACAGAACTCTGCACATTTCTCGGTAGGAGGTCCCACTGTGCATTCTATGGTTTGTATGGATTTTTCTGTTTTTTTTACAAACTATAAGTTGCTTGAGGGGAGTTTTTCTCATCTGTAGTTCTGGCAGAGAATGGCTGCTCCCTAAACTATTACTAAATGAATAAATCCCAATCAAAGTGTAGTCCTGGCCATAACTTTTCAAGGAAAGTTATAATCCACAAATTTTTTTGTAGCACAAAGTATCAAGGATTAGTAAAACTATGAATCTTTAAGATTCTCTAAATCTGACACTTAATATATATCCAATTCACTTCTCTACATTCATCATTATCTTCTGTTTCATTAGATATTTTCAAAGACTTTAACATTTTTATTGTACCCTATAAGCCATGAAATTGACAATTTTTATTAACCAAACCCAGAAAATATCACAACTAAATTTAAAATAATACACATTCAAATAAAAACATAAATATCAAGTTTTAGTTTATCCAATTTTTAATTTGAAAGGACCTTAGACCAGTTTTGAATATAAAAAGAGAACAAATTAGTATTCTTTCATTTTCTATTTTTTAATATTTATCCACATGCACATTTACTAGATTTTTAGCCTAGAGGAGAAAGAAATGTTACCTTGATTGCTAAATGCAACAAAGAGTGATAATATCACTTGACTCTTTAACCTTAAATTTAATATTAAATATTTATACAGTTTCCCTCATTTAGCAAACAAAAATATATTTTGTTATCAAACCCCAAATTATAAATCAAATCTACTTTTTAAAAGCTAACTATGGCACTTGAGTTATTTGATATGTAACTAAAACTAATTTTTACATTGGAAATTTCTTGGTTCTAAATTAACTATAGTCTGGAACAGTATTTTTACTCCTCATAAAATTAAGATCATACACTATGCTGTAGTTTGCTATTTTATTTCATTCAAAAACAGATGTTTTATGTCCTGTGAAAACATTAAAATGAAAAGCATGCTTTTACAACTATGTCATCTTCATAAACTAATGTTCACAAAAAATTAGTATGCATTTTACAAGGTAAATACAACGCAAACTTACAATAATTAGTATAAGCAGACTGAGTACAACAGTTACAAATATTGTAAGCACAGTTTTCGAGTGCAAGCCATTACTTTTCGGCCTAGAGAAAAAATGTTGGCAAAGCTCTCTACCACATGGAAACTGCTTTTAAAGCTGCTGGGCCCTGAAATTCTACTCAGCAGTTTAAAATCAATCCACAGCTTTCTTCATTCACCCTCCCACTTGGTGCTTATGCACAGACATGAACATCTATTGAGGAAAACCACAAAAAAACTTCATAATGGCTACAACGGTAGACTCCCCCTTCCCCAGTATTAATTTAAATATCATTAAAATGTGACTCACCTAACAGTCTTAATAAATGTAAAGGCTATCTGTAATTTTTTAATGTTCCAGTTACCTCAAACAATTACTTTTAACTAACACTTTAGTGTATATCATTACATAACTTTAATATCCATTGCAGGCAAGAACACAGAGCTGCAAACATCACCGACCCTGTTACTCATTTTTAACCACTGATTTTTGATGAATGGCATTTACAATGCAGCACCAGCAACTCTGAGTGATTCTGTTTGAAATTATTTAAGAAAAAATCTGAAATGTGTACCACCAGATAAAATCCACCAGTAAGCCTAAATCTTACCTATTACATTTCTCTAATCCTTGATTAAAACTTCTATCTTTTTCTAGTCTGCAATACTATTTTTTTTACTTTTCAAAGTTTAAATTTATAAAGCTATTCTATTAACTAAAAACAGTGATACCTATGACAATGAAAAAACTAAGAAAATTAAAATTATGGCTTTTCCTACATTTTGTACAACTTTTAAAAGTGTTAATGACTACTTTTTACAATGTTAAATTTAAAGTTTAAACTTTAAAACTTTTCTTAAAACTTGTTTTTGTTCATACCAATACAAATCAAGAGTTCTTATAAAGTAGCAAAGTTGAAATATGATATTTTAAGCTCACATGAGACAGGATCTTGGGCCTTCATGTTAACCATTTATACTACAGGTATTCTAAGATTTCAAGTTCATAAAAGTACTGTGTTCAAGGCACTTAATTATTAAGAAACTAAAATTATCAACATTGCTTGGATTTTTTGATAGAAAAGAAATAAAATCATTTTCTGAAACTGTTTTTCAGAATATCACTGAAACATAAAAACGTTTAGCATGTAATTTAAGATCACTAAGGGTTAAATACTTGTTCTCTGGCCCCTACTGCATATACTCTGCCAAAAACTCCTCTAAGCTTTTAAATATTGCTTCGATGGTCTGGATTTTACTTCCATGGAAAAAGGAGTATTGTCTTACAGTCAGCAGGCCACTAGCTTATTAACTTCCAGTCACCTTAATTTTTGTTAAAATGAAGATTCTGCAGTCTACACTTCTCCTGTTACTGTTTGTGCCTCTGATAAAGCCAGCACCACCAACTCAGCAGAACACCGATAATTTTGAAGAAATTTTATTTACTCGACATTATGAGGATCAATACCTGGATGGAAAAAATATTAAGGTACCTTATTTCCATTCTAAATTTCATTTCTAAAATAGCCTAGCCTATTTAACTGCATGCTTGTTTTTCTGAATGTGTCTGATAAGGTTAAGAGGAAAGAAAAAGCACTTTAAGTGATTCAAATTAATTAAAAATAAGTGTCCCTAAGATTATATTTTTAAAGAACGCATGCCTCAATAAATCATACTTATTGTAACCAAACAGTATCTACAGTAACCAACACATAATATTTAAGGAAAACTAAACTTTAAGATACTCCCTGACCAGTTGAAATTTATAGTATTAAGTAGTGTTAAACAATGCCCTATATTTGGATATTATGTTATTTCAAAATAAAATAGGAGATGTGTATTAGGAGAAATAAAGATGGATTACCAGCTTAAGGTTTATTATTTTAGGAAGAAGCGGTTCAAGAAAATAAATAGAAGAGTACTGTCATTTTGGTATATATAATATTTCACAAAATTTATAAATGTCAACTATATACAGTACCAAAAATGAAAAACTACTTAATATGGGGCTTTCTGTTTAAATCAGCTTCAACGATTTAGACTATCAGTTTGTACCAACTTGAGTTAATACTCTACCACATCTTTCATACTCACTTATATGGGCTAAGTGATTACTTGTGGTTTTCTTATCACACAACTGGGTAAGGACAAAGTAAACACATCACAGAAGTATCTTTTGCCTGCCTATAGTGTGACACACACACTGAAAAATGAGAAATGCAGCCAAATATTTAACAATGTCGATCTCTTCAAAGTTCTTCTCCAGTATGAATAAGATGGCAAAGATTTATAAAGTGTCCAGTTATTATTCCTTCCTTCCTTCCTTCCTTCCTTCCTTCCTTCCTTCCTTCCTTCCTTCCTTCCTTCCTTCCTTTTCTTTCTTCCTTTCTTTCCCTCCCCCCTCTTTCTTTCCTTTCATTCTCTCTCATTCTCTCTCTCTCTCTCTCTCTCTCTCTCTCTCTCTCTCTCTCTCACTCACACACACACACACACACAAGTAAATGTTAACACCACATTTTCTGTCAACAAAGTTAGTTAATATGCTAGTATTATTCTTGCTAACAAGAAGACAAAAAAGATAGGTATAACTAGTTATAGCTTCAGATTTTTTTTTTAAAAGGCCCATCACAATAATAAACTATTGGCTCACATGTATGATCTGAATCTATCAATCAGTTAAAAGAATACTTTGAAAACTCCCTGGTCCCAAAACATGTAATAAGTAAAAGAAGCTCAGTTTTACTTCTTTATGCTGCTTTAGAAGTCTATCTTAATATAAACGAAGTGGAGCAGAGTTCAATGGTATTTAACACACAAAGGAAGTGGAAGGGACTGTTCAACCAGAACACACGAGAAAGTGAAGGAGCCGAGAGCGAGACTAAAAGTGGAAAATGCTCCTGAAGGGTACAGAAACTAGGGCACCACACAGTATATAGTCTCTAGTCTAATGGCAGAACATGTTCCCTCCCAGAATACGAAAGAGAGTAAATGATAAAGACCCCAATTCTCCTAGAGCTAACAGCCTGGACCGGTGGTCTGAGTGTGGAGGGTAGGCTAGAATGAAAGGACTCCAAGGCCTTAATGCACGTGCATATATACTTAAGGGTCACTTCCAGAAGCAGCAAAGAGAGCCTACTCAGGGCTGTCCAGGTAGGGCACGTCTGGTGCTTAGTACAGGCCAACATGGCAGAATATGAATAATTAAAAGAGCTACTTTACATAAAAATAATCTCAAGACACTATTTTCAGTTTAGGTTCCACCTCAGAAAATCTTTAATTCCAAGGCATAGAATTCTCCCCTAGATCCCATTTGGAATTTCAATACATTTGGCATGTAGGAAGCACAGAGTTTGGCCTTTGAAGATATAAAAATTTTTTTAAAAGACCTGGTTCTTTTACTCAAGGAGCCCACAGTATAAGTAAAACCAAGCTAAACAACTATTTACATTTTAATAAGTATATAAAACATAAAGTAAATGCCATTATGTGACTATGAGAAGACAGATGTTGTCCATATCCCTCAGTTTATATGGTGAAAATTAGATTTCTCACACTTGATAATACATTTTTATTTTTCTAATAGAAAAAAGAATCCATGATAACACCTGATGAGAAAAGTCTTCAATTACAAAAAGATGAGAGTTCAACATCATTACCCCTCAAAAAAGAAAATGATGGTAAGTATGAACAGTCTATCTTCTATTTTTTTTAGAAGCTTTAAAAAACAGCTTATAATGGAATTTTAGTCTTCATAGTAATCAAAACTTGTCTCTGAATAGAGTAACCCCAAATAATAGAATTCTATCTCCAACAACAAAGTCAAATAGGCATGTTAGGAGTGCACATCATTTCCCACCCCATGTTAGGAGTGAGAAACATGGAATAGGAACATGCAAGAACAACCAAAGCTAATGCAGTGTAGCCCTTACAAAGTCTGTCTTTCTGTCTGCGTAAAATCAATTCAAGAAACAGTTATTAAACACCGATTAGTTTTAAACTTAGTCCTCAACGTACATTTAGACTTAATTTTTCAACTTTATAATGGCCCCAAAGTGATACTCATAATAAATTACACAAGATAGTCAACACTTTATTGTAAAATGGGCTTTGTGTTGGGCACTTTGCCCAATTGTAAGCTAATGTAAGTGTTTGGAGCACATTTCAGGTAGGCTAGGCTACACTATGATGTCCAGAAGTAACCCCATCGTAAGTTGAGGAGCATATGTACTATGTATAGCCTGAGGGTAAGGTAAATAAAATGTAACTTTCTCCCTCAAGAAAGTCACAGAAGACGGAGAGATGGTTACACAGATTGTCATCAACTTATGATAGTTCGACTTACATTTTTTTACTTTATGATGATGCAAAAGCAATACACATTCAGTAGAAACTATCTAGGCTTAAGCTAAGATGTTCAATAGGTTAGGCATAATAAATGTATTTCGACTTAGGATATTTTCAAGTTTCAGTTTATCTACGCTAATAAAAGAGAAACATGCAAATTGTGTCACTCCACTATGCCCACCAGCCAATCAGAGCAACTATGCAAATTAACCCAACAAAGATGGTGGTTAATTTGCATACGCAGGCATGGAGTGAAGATTGAAGGCTCAGGCTGGAGTGAAGACTGAAGACTAAAGACTGAAGAGGCTTGGCTTCTCCACTGTGGCTGGACCAAAGGCCTGGGTCCTGGGTGCCAGAGGAAAACTGGTGCCGGCAGCCAGGGGAAGGAAGGCCTATTGCACGAATCTCTTTGTGCAACAAGCCTCTAGTCAGTATATAACTCCACCATTAAGTTGAGGAGCATCTGCATACAGTCATGTGCTGCATAATGATGGAGATACATGCTGAGAAAGGCATCATTAGGAGATGCTGTCATGCAAATGTTGTAGAGTGTACTTACACACACCTATATGGTATAGCTTACTACACACCTGTGGTGCATACAGCCTATTGCTCCTAGGTTACAAGCCTGTAAAGTATGCTACTGTATAAAACAACACAACATTAAATCAACCAGAAAAGGAAATGAAGCAATCGAGGCACAGTAAACACAAGACGGTTCAGGCTGTTGCCAGTGTGATACAGCAGGTAGTTTTACAGTAAAGATTTGTTCATTAAGTAGAAAGAGTACACACATGCTAAAATAATGTTAAAAATTATACTGTAGTAAATACATCAGTCAGTGACATACTCATTTATTATGGACATAATTGTATGTGTTAGTTACTCTTCTGTGCTGGTAATTCAGTAGGTTTGCATCACCACAAATACGTGAGTAATGCATTTTGCTACGACGCTATGAAGGATACAACTGCTTTAGGTGATAGACATTTTTCAGTTCCATTATAATCTTACGGACTCTCATCACATATGTGGTTTGTCAATGACCAAAACATCAATAGATGGTGCATGACTGTATATAAATAATTATAATGCACATTTCAATTAAATCAATAGAAAACATAACTACGAAGTCCTATTCAATAGTTCCTATCTATTTGATTTATTCTTATTCTATCACAGAACATTATTTCACATGACAGTAAAAAATCACATAGTAATTTCTATATTGCTACAATAAATTAAAATGAACCAAAACAGGTAATATATCTTAAGAAACCTGAAAGTATCAAAGTAAAAACAGACTTGGACAAATGGAAAGATGTTCCTTGTGCTTGGCTAAGGTGAATCAATATCATAAAATGTCAGCTCTCTAACTTTGTAACAATAAACTTATTTAAAGATCTGATAAGGTTGATACTCAAGTTCACATGGAAAAATCAAAGCTGCACAAACAGCAAGGGAAATACTGAAAAATGACAGGTAACTGCAGGAATCAGAAGTACCATACACATTAGAACATACTTTAAAAACTCTACACTTTTAAAAAGTGTGATACTGGTGCATGAATAGACTAGAAAGTCCAGAATCAGGCAGAAATACATGTACAAATTTAATATATAATAAAGTCAGCATCTAAAACCACTGAAGCAAAGATTATTTTTTGTTTATTTATTTTTTGTCAATCCTCACCCAAGGATATTTTTTCCATGGATTTTTAGAGAAGGACGGAAGAAGGGGGAGAGAGGAACACAGATTGCTTGCTCCCGCACATGTGTCCCAACTGGGCTGGGGATCAAACCTGCGCCAGGTACATGCTCTTGACCAGATATCAAATCTGAGACCCTTCAGTGCACGGGCCTAGGTTCTAACCACTGAAAAACACCAACCAGAGTCAAAGATGATTTTTTTTTTAATGGTGCTTGGACAACTAAGTAGTCAACTGAAAGGAACTACAATTAGATCTATACCTTACACTGAAAAAAAACTCCAAATAAATTCAGATCTAAATGTAAAAAGTGAAACCGTATAAATCCTAGAAAATACATTGGGTGTGAGGTACCTACAAATCCAGAGGAAACCATAGAAAATATCAATGAATTCGACTCCATAAACTGAAATTTGCATGGCAAATACATCATAAGTGAAGTCAAAGGTAACTAAAAATTGAGAAAAATATTTGCAACTTATTGCACAAAGAATTAATACCTCTAAATTATATATATATTTTTAAAGTAAAGATCTAGGGAAAAAATATGACTGAAAAAAGACACTGGAAAAACAGCCAAAAGAGATTTACAGATAATTCGCCAACTGATCCTATCTAATAAAAGGGTAAAATATGCAAATCAACCATCACTCCATCACAAAGATGGCGCGAGTAGCCTGGCAGAATGCTTGCTTTGTCGCCGTGCCAACAAGGCAAGCTTTCCACCCCAGCCATGGAGGGCGTCTGGGCAGTGGGCATGGAGCGGCCGGAGGGGGGGAATAGGGGGGGAATCTTGTGTCGTCACCCCAGCAACAAGGCAAGCGTTCTGCGCCCAGCCACAGAGGGCCTCTGGCCAGGCCAGGCACGGAACGCTTGCATCATTACAGGCCAGGCTGAGGGATCCTCCCCCACCATGCACAAATTTCGTGCACCGGGCCTCTAGTATAAAAATGATCCTCAAACATACAAAAATATGTTACATCTCACACAGAGCAATGCAACTTAAAATTACATTGAAATGCCATGTTTTAACCTGACTGACAAAAATTAAAACTGTGACAACATATTACTATATTCAATTGGCAAGGCTACAGGGTATCAGACAATCTCATACATTGTTGGTGGAAAGCAAACTGGTACACTTTTGGACCAAAATTTGGTAATCGTATATAACAAAGCGGTAATATGCAAAATGAACGTCATGACCTCACACAGGGAGGGCAGTTGGGGGCGACCAGGCCAGAAGGGGAGGGCAGTTGGGGGTAATCAAGCCGGTAGGGGAGCAGTTAGTCATCAATCAGGCTGGCAGGGAAGTGGTTAGGGGGTGATCAGGCTGGCAGGCAGAAGCGGTTAGGGGCAATGAGGCAGGCAGGCAGGCAAGCAGTTGGGAGCCAGCAGTCCTGGATTATGAGAGGGATGTCTGACAAAACCAGCAGTTGGACATCCCCCAGGGGGTCCCAGATTGGAAAGGGTGCAGGCTGGTCTGAGAGACACCCCCCTCCACTGCACAAATTTTGTGCACCTGGCCTCTAGTATTGAATAAAACCAAATCCAAAAGAAAATACATATGCAAAATCATTGAAACACTGCTTGCAATGGCAAAATATTGGAAACAATCAAATTTCCCATACATTGGAGAGTATACGTATAAAGTACTGTATATCCACACAAGGGAATACTATGCAGTTGTGAAAATAAATTATCTCTATTGAACTAATATGGAATGATTTCCAGAAAACATATACGAAAAAAACCCAAGTACAACAGTCTATCTACAGTATGCTGCCTTTCATCTCACAAAGAAGGTGATATAAGTACCGGCATCACTTCACTTGTTTCTAAAGAAACCCAAGAAGGGTATTAAAAAACTGAGACTAGTTACCTACAGGTCACAGATGGGCCAGCAGTGGTAAGGAGTGGGGATGGGAAATGAGGAGCAGTGTGGGAGGATCATGGCACTACTCTGTGTACACCTTATTGTGTAGATTTGATTTTAGAACAAGGTTATGCTTCACATAGGCAAACGAACAAACAAATACACTGATAAATAAAATCAACAAGGATAAGATAAAAAACCAAAGTGAAATACAAACAGAAAAACAGAAACTTAATTACATTTCAAATGAATAACGTAAAACACTAAAAGGGAAAATTCTAATCCAAGTAACCCTTCAACACAATATTTTGACTGCATTCCTTCTGACTAAAAAATAAATACATACATACATACTAAAATTCCAATGAGTGGGTTTGTAGCAATAATGAAACTACTTAATGCTTGTTCTAAGACTGAGTAATGTAAAGCAAACACACTGTGGATAATGAGAGCTAGGTTCCTCACCGTCAGACAAGGGTGTTAGAAATATGGAAAGGAGAAAGGCTAGAATGAACACTGTGGAGCTAAACTATAACACCATCAACTCATGGCTTGTAAACAGATACAGAAACAGATATAGATGTGTCTGTCTCTGTGTGAGCAAGCACGTGTTGTGTATATATGCATATGGTGTGTTTAGGTATATGCTAGAGGCCCGGTGCATGAAATTCGTGAATGGGTGGGGTCCCTAGGCCTGGCCGGCGATCAGGGCCAATCCTGGCCTTCAAGCTGCTGGCTGGAGCCTCCCT